CTTAATAGTTTGAAGTATAATTACTGATTGTACTCTGTGATACTGTGAAGAGCTGCACGAGTATTTTAGCGGACAGTTCCAGAACTGTGAAGAGTTTCTTTTGATAAAATGATTTATCAAACTTATCAGTTTTGTGTGCACATGTCTGTTATGAACCCATACACCCGCAGCAATGGAAATCTGGATCTCGAATAAGGACACGAATAACAGTGCGCATAACAGAACTTGATGAGTTTATCAAACGTTTTATTTAACTTAGTTTCCCCGCTTATTTGAATTAAATTTTGCAATTTCTTTCTTGCCTCTCCTATCAAACAGTTTTTATTGTCAGTTTTACCACATCCGTATATAGGATGGATAATGCAGTATTTCATAAGAAAGTTTTTCAAAATTCTACGTAGTTTATTTATTTATAATTTTTTTAAAATTTTTTTTATACATATCTTTTTTAAAAGTAAAAACATCTTAAATTTTATCATTTACAATGTCGGATAAATTGAGAATCAGATTCCAAATGATGGTTTTTAATATTTGAAAAATAATTTTTAGAAATCTGGCTTTGTTTTTACTTCCATGTACGAAGTAAAAAGGAAGTATTGTAATCGTGAAAAGTTTCAGGCAGCATATTTCAACGAAAATATCCATTTTGGCCGTTATCGAATGCAACTTAAGGATGTTTTTGCGTGATATCTGTACGTAAGGACAGAATAAAATACTCTTTTCCTTAAAAAAAATTATAAAACTGCTTTAAAATTAATCCTGAAGAGAATTTTCCGTCCCGTCTGTACGTGCGTACGTACGTACGTATCTCGCATAACTCAAAAACGAGTAGCCTCCTAATGTTGAAAATTTGTATATAGGACTGCTATAACATGTAGATGTGCACCTCGTATTTTGGTTGCAATCGGCCGCACCAAACGTATATAAATATATTTATATCTATCTCCACACTGTTACCCGGCTCAGTGATCTCAGTTTCTTTACTCTTATATGTTTGTAACTTGTACATTTTTTGCTTTAAAAATGATTTAATTGTATTGTTCTTATCTTCCGGTTAAGGTTTTTATGTCTGTAGTAAATCTGTATGCAATATATTTAGAATTATCAACAATTTTAAAGTTGTTTAAGCACCGCTAAGCCTAATAATTTTTTTGATGGCAGCCATTGCTAGTTTACATTTGAAACAGCAGAATAGTGGATTTGTTGCCAATCTAGAAAAACTTAGCTTCGCAACAAGAAAGATAACGCCTTCATTTATTATTTAAATCATGCTTAATCATTTCTGGAATTTTTTTCGAGGAAATAAGCGTTTAAGATTTACTTCGTAATTTTTAATATAGATATTTTGAGATTTTATGTATTTTTGCCTTCTCGCAAAGTGAGAACTAAATTAATTGAATGAGAAATACTCAATAGTCTGTGAAAAACTGTTTCTTTTTTGTTTTGTTTGCTTAATTTCTTTTATACATCGTTCTAGATTTATTATAGTATTTGAATAGAACATGTGGAACGATTAGATAGTTCTATTCTTTAAATGATATAATTATTTAATGATATATTTTGTATATTCTTTAAATGATATATTTTGTGCATTATGAGTTATAATATGAATGAAATATATAAATTAACTGTTATATAATTATCGGATTATATAACAGTTAATTTAGTTTCCGTTATAAAACTATTATATAAGTTAACTGTTATATAATTATTAATACTGAATGAATTTTTTCTATTGTGGTTTATGCGCTGTCGGCGAAGTAGATTTAATTCAATCCAATAAGTTTAAATGAAATGCAAGAAAAAATGCGTATAATTTAGTATTCCAATTTAATATTCCAGTACAAGGAAGTTATGTGGTGTACACATCAGATTTTTTCTTTTTGTTATACCATTTCTATAAACTGCAAATTTGTAAATTAAAAGATTTAATGTTTTATTGAGTTTGTAAAATAATTTACTGAATCTTGGTGATTTTCTAAAGCTTTTTTTTAATCAATTGCTAATTTTTATCAATTTATAAATCAAAATATTACTCTTTTATTGTTAGGAAGCTCGTAATTTCAAACAACGATGAGGTCATGTTTCAAAATCAAACAGTAAACTGAGGCATTAAACATAATCTTACGTCATAGGATAGATAAGAAGGCCTAGATTACGCTGTAAATCATGCGTACTTTTTTGATACGATCATTATACGAAATAATTTTCTAACGGTAAAATGTAGTTGGTAATTTTCTGGCTTTCTATACACTAAAAGGTATAATATTAAATGTCTGACAATTCTTTTCAGATTGTCCGGTTTAAATAGAAAGCACTAAAATTAAAAATTAATTTTTCAGTCACCGCAGCATTTTTGGTTATGCATCACCAAAAATAAAATCTTGACGTGCATATATATGAACTGCAATGAAATAATTTCAGAAAATATTATAATTAATAATACTGAAACGATATATATAAAAATTTATATATTTTAATCACTAAAATTTTGGCTCGACAGTTTTGATTTAAAATTCTACATTGTTAAAAGCTGCACGATTTTATTTTCATTACAAACCAATGGGCAGGTCGGCCAAATGAGCGGGATGCGGCCAAAGTAAAATTTATAAGTTCTGTATACATCTGAATAGAAAATGTATAAAAACATGCCAATATGAATGAAATTAGTTCATTCTTCTCAAGCAACAACTAATTCGTAAATAACATTTTTGTTGCCAAACCAGAAAACAAAAGCTTTTGGACACGTCAGTGTAATACATATACAGCGTATGAGGTCATGATTTAAATTTAAGGTAATATAACAATTTTTTCTCAATTTAAGGTAATATAACAATTTTTTAATGTCAATAAAATAAGTAACGTGGCAATACAATATCGTGTCAATTATCCTAATCTGAAAGAAAAATTTGCCAACAGTATCTATTTATTTAAAATCTATTATTAACGAATTTCGACATACAGTGACGTCATATGAAATCGTATGCTTTCTTCAACGTCAGAATACGACCTTACATAATAATAATATATTTAATGTTTGATAATGCTATTTTTATTCCATACCAGTTATTCCATATTTTGTAAAACTTATAAAATTTAGCTCGATTTGAAAGCGAGCCGTGGCAACAATTTTTGAAATACAGCAGATTTTTATCTCCAGCGTGCGAGACTGTTGACTCGAAAAAATTAAAATTGGCGTTTTCAGAGTTTTCAATTGAATATCTTGGCTGATTAACGTCGTATAAAGATGAGAATGTTCGAAATGACTTCCCGCGAATTTTTGGAAATCCAGTAGTACCTCTCCCGAAACTCAACTCCCCGCCGCTCCGTAGGAGAAGACGCCACAAACAAACAAACAACAAACAGACAGGACAGATGCGCACAGTTTTAATAGTATAGATAACTTAAGATTATCTTTATAACTAAAATATATTTTTTTTCATTTGAATAAAACTGAGTAACACATTAAAGTTATATATTTGATTACGGGAACAGTGAAAGAAATATTTTCTCTAATGCTTAGTCATGAAATTATTAGCGAAAATCCTTGTCTCGAAAATGTTATTATAAACCTTTGACCACTAACGCTTCGTAATATTGTTGCATTAATCCCTAGATTGCAAAATTTGGCAATTTACGCAGGACTTCTCCACGACATTTTAGCTTTTTCTCCCAATACAAATATTACTTTAACCAAGATTAACAGCAATTGTTCTCTAACGTCGTATTCTAATTAGACGTACATAAATTCTGAATAATTTATCTATATATGTAAAGAAGAAAGTATGTGTTGTATCTCTCAATAGAATTCTAAAAGGTAAAAAGAAATCTCTTACCTTTTCTTTCACCCGGGAGCCGAGCTTGTTCAATTCTAATTCTTATTCGATGAAATATCTAAATAATTCCAAGCTTTTGCATAAAAACTGACACTTCTGTATAAATAAAGATATTATATTTAGATACAGTTATATACAATTATTAGATTACATGAAATTACCGCGCTCTCCAGCTAACAGTCAATCGAGTTCGGATTCAGAGTTCTAACTACGTTCTTTCGTAGGATTATTCTCGAGTTTAGATGTAATGGTGCTGATAGTTCGGAGTTTAGATGTGGAGGCGCTGATAGTTCGGAGTTTAGATGTAACATCTCCCCACCATTGAGATCCGACGGATGCGGAGGAACTCAATACACACAAGGTCCAGTCGATGAGGGAGCCCCGAACAACTCGTCCAAGCTCTGGTCATCACTCGAGGACTTGAGGCAGGTTCTGGAATACACTAGCGATCCTGATCGAGCCTGATCAGTTGCATGGTCGTTTCTATCTCGAGGTGCTCTGTCGGGAAACGGAGGGCCAACGGATTCGGAGAGTAGAGATCTCCAACGGGAAAAGGCCGGGGCACTGGACGAAGCAGAATACCATTCCATTTCTTGTCTTTGACCCTCGCTAGTCTAACTTATTCCGTCTTTTACTGGGGAAAAGCTCGATTTATCTTGGCTAAAGGCCAATGTATGGCGTCGTCTCTGGCTGTCTTCCAATAGAACGACATCGCCTACTTGCAACTGTTGAAATTTTTCCCTTCTTTATTGCCTGTTGTCTCAACTGACCAAGATATTCATTACGAAATCTGTTTCGTAGATCATGTCTTATTCTCTGTCGGTATTTGGCTCGGACGGTTTAGTTCTTTGGAATCTACGTAGTCCATATCAGGAACTCCTGATGACGGCAATTCTTGGCAGGAAACATCATAGGGGTCAGTGGTGATGGATCTTGATTATCCTCTGATACATATGTGATAGGTCGCGAATTAATCACTTGTTCACAGTCACATAATATAGTGTATAATTCTTCATAATTTAAGGACGTTCGACCTAACACTCTTCTTAAATTTTCTTTCACCATTCGCAGAAGCCTCTCCCACCAACCTCCCCACCAGGCGGCGGTCGGAGGGTTGAACTTCCATCGTATCCTTTGGATAGAAGCAGCTGGACATATGGCGTTTCAATTAACTTTCTTAAGAACACTGTTAGTCCCTATAAAATTAGTTCCGTTGTCGGAATATATCACATAAGGTCTACCTCTTCTGGCAATGAATCTACGTAAAGATTGGATGAAAGTTTCTGTAGATAGAGAAGTAACTAGTTCGAGGTGAATGGCTCTATAAATGGCACATGTATACAGGACTATCCACGCTTTAGACCCCTCACGGAGATAGAGAGGACCCGCTAGATCTACACCGACGACTTCAAAAGTCGCCCCTTCTCTGACTCGATCTTCGGGTGGAAATCCTGGCTCGACTTCCACTCTTTGTGAAACAAATCTTTTACATCTTACACATTTTCTGATAATATTTCGAATACTTTTTCTGGATTTTAATATCCAAAAGTTTTCTCTAAGATTTGTCATCAAAGTGCTGACACCAGCATGCTGGAGTTCTAGATGTTTCTCGTAAATTAGTCTCTCAACAAGAATATGTTTTGAAGGTAAAATGATAGGATATCGGAAATTTTCATTATCTTGACGCTGTAGGACGTTCGTTTTGGCTCTTAAAATTCCATTTTGGTCTACGATTGGTCTCAGCGCACGAATGGCGGGATCGTTTATGCCTGTAAATGATTCTTTCTGTACCAATCTACAAAGTGCCTTTTCAGCATTCTCCAATTCATCAAACTGAGACATCAGGAGTGAGGGTTTTTATCTTTGTTCTTTAAATTGTGATAAAACCTGAAAATCCAAGCGATCATTCTCACGGTTTTTCTATATGAAGAGAAGTATTTGTAGTACCGGTCCAAATGGTCTTCATGATCTAGAAGAGTCAGAATCGTTTTCCTTTTTTCTTTGTTTATAAGTTCCTCATCAGGCTTTTCTTCTACATGGGGCCACTCGTCTTCTGGTAAGTAAAGCCACGATGGGCCCTCCCACCATGCCGATTTCTGTAACTGCTCAATAGTACATCCTCTCGATGGGAGATCCGCTGGGTTTAAACTTCCAGGTACATGCCTCCAGTCAGATATTCTGGTAAGCGATCTTATTTCTTGTACTCGATTGTTAACAAACGTACCCCATGCTTGATCCTCTTCTTATCCACCCCAAAGCTGTAGAAGAATCACTCCAGAACACTGTTCTACAATTCTTAAGTTTCAAATCTGATAGAATTGTTTTGGCAAGCCTGGCACCTATCAGACAGGAAGAAGTTCAAGCCGTGGAATCGTAAGTTCCTTTAATTAGGGGCTATTCGACTTCTCGCGCTTACTAACTGAACCTTTACACCTTCGATGGTTTCAGCTCTTAAAAATGCACATGTGGCATAGGCTCTTTTACTAGCATCCGAAAAAACGTGGAGCACTACGGTATCTTCGTTTTCGTAATCAATATTTAACCAACGAGGAATTTCAATCTGAGATAGCAGAGGACAATTGGTTCAACCAAGTCCCAAACTGCTCACTTAGGGGGAAGAGGAAGATCTTCATTCCACTTAATCTTCTGGTTCCATGTTTCTTGCAAAATTAGCTTAGGAATTACAGTTATCGGTGCAGCAAAGCCAATGGGATCAAAAATTTTCTGGGTAATTGACAAAACTTTTCTTTTGGTAATAGGTTCCCTCAAGTTAAATATTTCTTCGATCTTGCAACTCAAACTATCTTTCTCTAAATCCCATACTAAGCCTAATACTGGGACAACTTTCGTCTTGTTCTCTATCTCATCGATCATGTCAATGCGAAAATTTGATCGCCAACATCTCAAATTGAAATGCCCTGAAGCCAAAATCAATCTTGCTTCTTGAACGAAATTTTCGGCTTCATCTACGTGATTTAAGCTAATTAACGAATTATCGAGGTAAAATGAATCTTTCAAAATATTAGAAGTTTCTACAAATTTTTCTGGGACTGTAGTCAAAAGGTGACTAAGTGTAGCGGCTAGCAGAAACGGACTTGATGTGAGTCCAAAAACAACTCGGTTATGTCTGTAAATTTTAAACTTATGTTGATTATCGAACCATAGAAACCTTAAAAAATCTCTATCCTTTTCTGCTATTTTGATTTGACAAAAGGCCTTTTCGATGTCAGATGACACTCCTATGCGATATTTTCGAAAACGATTCAATATACGTGGAATAATTTCTATTAAATTTGGTCCTTTACTCAAACAATCATTGAGAGAGGGTGAATTCTTAGAACGTGCAGATGCATTGAAAACAGGCCGTATCTTTGTAGTTTCACTAGACGCTTTTATTACAGGTCTGTGTGACAAGTAGCGCACTCCTTCCTCCTTTTCCTCAGTTACTACCTCAATAATATCCTTCGCTTCCCACTCATCAAATATTTCTTCGTAATCTTTTCTTCTGCGTGTGTTAATTAGTTTACTTTCGGTTTTGACGAGGTGTCTTTCGGCCACAGTACGGTTACTGGATAAGACGGATTTATCTAAAATAAAGGGTAAGGTTACTTCATATCTCCCGGAGCTATCTCGTTTTACACTTTTTAAGAAATGTTTTCGGGTTTCTTCTTCCAAGGCACTTTTCGTTTTGTTTTCCTGACTTGAAATCCCCAAGGTGTCTAAACGCCAAAGATTGGACAAATTTGTATCGGAAACATGTAAGGATAAAGAAAGAACGGACAGGGAACTCGACGTATTCGCATTCTCTTTAATCTTGCCCATTAAAGTCCAGCCTAACTTGGTCTCAAAGGCTACGTAATCCCCCGCAAAATGTTCAATTCTTTCAGTGAACAATTGTGCTGCGTTGTGTCCGCTCCTAACAGCATATGAATCTCTTCCGGATTTTCTTGAAACAGACAGAGATTTCCATTCTCATGATTGTCGTTGATAAGGATTCCCCTTTTTTCCATTACTTTAATTAATTTTTCGTCTTTGATCTTAGGTAGTGACGAACAAATTTTTCCTCTGGTCTAGTGCTTCGATTTTACACCTGTACTTTCCATCCAAACTAGTTAAATCTATTTGATAACGATTATGATCTTCCGAAACTTCTACACCCTCCAAATAACCCATGTTTAATTCTTTCAGTTCCTATCTTTTCTAATTTCAACGTTTTAGCAGCATATTGACTTATGTACGTGTGTTCTGACTTCCGGTATCTATTAGCAGTCTTAAATAACCCTTTAAGGTTTTCCCCCCAGCTACCCCTACGACCAAAGTTTGTAAATAAACTTCAGAACGGTTGCTTTGATTCGAAAGTACTTTATTTTCAACTTCCTGGACAGTTTTTGATCGTTCCCTTTTTACTCTCGGAATTAATTCTGTTGCACATAATCGTAGAATGCTTAGAGTGACAATGGGTAGCAAAAAAATGTTAGAATCACAAATTTGCTGCTGATGTGACCCTTATTTTGTAAACACCTAAAACAAGTGCCATTTTTGCGTAGTATTTCAACCTTTTCGTCATTCGTTAGTTTCTGGGCAATAGGACATTTATGGCTTGAATGGGAAAAATCTCCGCAAAAAACGCATGCCTTAATCAATTTTTCTTTAATACCCGTGGACACTAAATCAGAAGCAGAAGAAGCTTTCGTTTCTAATTTATTGCTCTTTCCATCACTGAAATGACGAGTGTTTATTTTCTGGACTGCATACGGAGACTGACGACGCCCACTATTCGCTGTCGAATGCTCTGAATTCTTATTTATGACTTCCGCCCTTTCGCGTGAATCTAAACATTGAGCTATAATCAAGCACAAGTTTTTAATATTACAATACGCACTTCCATTACTCATTCTGTTAATCTCAAGCAAAATATCTTGGGGAAGTGATTTCAGAATTATTGGACATAACACACTTGATAAATTCTCGAGAGACTCACCCAAATTTTCTAAACATCTTAATTCGATAGAAATATTATCATAAAATTTTCTAAAGGCGCGAACGAACATCATTCGAGATTTTCAACGGTTTAGTGTTCAAAATGTTATTTATGTGAGTGTAAATGAGCACATCTGTTTTCGCAAATCTTTCTTTTAGAAGATCAATTGCGGAATCGTAATTAGCAGCAGTAATCGGTAATCCTTCGACTGTATTTAAAGCAGAACCACCTAAATGAGCTTTCAAATAATTAAATTTGTCTATTTTATCTAATGAATCATTTTTATGAATGCAGCAGACTCGAAACTGTTCCAAAAAGGTTAGCCAGTTGTTTATATCTCCGTAGAATTTCGTTAAAGTTAACTTAGGTAATTTAATTCGAACAGACTCGTTATGTTTTGGTTCGCTTTGACTATCACTACTGAACTGGTTATTTACTACCGTTTCAGTAGATTTGCGTTTTAATTCGTCGATTCTTTTGGAGGTACGGAAACTGCATTTAACGATCTTTTTCACGACATTCTTCAGATTTTTGGAATTCAGCATCAAATTCTTCGACTTTAAAAAGCGGTTCTAATTCTGTATCGACACTTAAGCGATTCGAAATTATTCTTTAATATTTCTAAATTTTCTTCCAAATCATGAATTTTCGGATCAATTTCCGAAAGCTGCGATTCCAAATCTTTAAGCGATTTCGTTACTGATGTTCGGAGAGTTGCGCGCTTCTTTTTTAACTTATTTAAGATCTCTTCAGACATGTTCTTAACAGTTCCAAAAATTCAAAATGTAATCAATAATTGTATTATTAATCTTTATTTCTAATTTAAATTCTTATTCTTAGCTCGGGCGTCCCGGCAGGGATGCCAAAAATTTGTTGTATCTCTCAATAGAATTCTAAAAGGTAAAAAGAAATCTCTTACCTTTTCTTTCACCCGGGAGCCGAGCTTGTTCAATTCTAATTCTTATTCGATGAAATATCTAAATAATTCCAAGCTTTTGCATAAAAACTGACACTTCTGTATAAATAAAGATATTATATTTAGATACAGTTATATACAATTATTAGATTACATGAAATTACGCGCTCTCCAGCTAACAGTCAATCGAGTTCGGATTCAGAGTTCTAACTACGTTCTTCTGTAGGATTATTCTCGAGTTTAGATGTAATGGTGCTGATAGTTCGGAGTTTAGATGTGGAGGCGCTGATAGTTCGGAGTTTAGATGTGGAGGCGCTGATAGTTCGGAGTTTAGATGTAACAGTATGTATGTTTGGTTGTCCTCTAATAACTCAGTCACTACTATAGCTATCGTCACCAAACTCTCTACAATTCTTCTCTGGGTCCTGGAAAAGCTTGACGTTTATTTTTTCCAAAAAAAAAAAAAAAAAAAAAAAAAAACTAGCTAAAATCAGAGATATTAATTAAAAACTCAGAAAAGCGATCATTTTCGCTCTCATGTTTTCCAATAACAACTGTCTCGCAAGCTGGAGATGAAAAATCTGCTTTATTTCAAAAGTTGTTGCCACTGCTCGGTTTCAAATACTAGAGATTGTTAATAAAAAATTTCTAAGTTTTACGATGAAATAAAAATAGCATTTTCAAACATTAAATACATTATTCCCAATTCCAAAAATTCGCGGAAAGCCATTTCGACTATTCCCATCTTCGTACGACTTTAATTAGCAGAGATATTAATTAAAAACTCTGAAAACGCTAGTTTTCGCACTCATTTTTCCGCGTGGCAACAGTCTCTCGCGTTTGAGATAAAAATGCTTTATTTCAAAATGTGTTGCTTGAGCTTTTACGAGCATTTGATTAGACAGACTAAAATCATTAAAAAATCCGAAATGTTTCAGATTTTAA